CAGTGAGCCGCGCTTCTGCGGGCGGCCTTGTCGCCCTGGGCCTGAGTGTTCCTCCAGTTCCCGAGTTGCTGGAGTTTCTGGTTCCGCAATGAATCACACTCAGTTCCACAGAAGATGGTGTCGAAGTCAGCAGCTCTCACCAGCACATTCCCACGCGAGTCGTGCTGTTTGTTTAGGTTTTAGCGAGACAGACGCCCCGATGGGTTGTCTCCGTGCCCATGCCCCTCTTTTAAAATAGCAGGCGCGTCTCTGACGTGAGGAGGCCCTGGGGCGGCCTGGGGACAGGCGGCTTCCGGAGGCTCCCGCGGGTCAGGAGTCCTGCCCTGGGAGGGGCAGAGGCAGGGCCAGGCGTCCAGCCCGGGGCTCGCGTTCGGGGGAACGCCGTGGGGCCATGTTTGAGTCGTGCTGCTGTGAGCGCAGCCAGGAGTGTGGTTCCCGTGGCTTCTCGGACGGACGCCTCCCACATTGTGCCCTGGCGTCAGGGACGAGGAAAGCCCTGGTGACGGGAAGAAGCTGTTTGCCGGGGGCAGTTTCACCGGATGCTACTGGCCGGAGGTGGCAGTGCCGAGTGGGTGGGCGGCTCCCGCCCGCGCACGCCTGGCCCTGAGCGCCTGCGATCTCGCGTTGCAGACCAAGCTGCACGAGGACCTCTGCGAGAAGCGGACGGCAGCCACCATCGCGACCCACGACCTCCGTGCCGTCCGCGGGCCGCTGCTGTACACCGCCCGCCCGCCGCAGGACCTCAAGGTGACCGCCCCTCCGGGCTGCGCGGGGTGGTTCTGGTGCCAGAGCGTCTGCAGGTAGCCGGCAGCTCCTCGCCCTCCGGCTCCCGGGGCAGCAGGGGCCTGTTCACGCCGCGGCACAGGCTCAGGAGTGGGACCAGTAAAGGGGTTCCTTCACTTGCTCACTCGCTTTAAACCGGAAACTCCTGCTTTGCATCCCAATGGCAAAGCCCCAGTGGGGCCTGACCTTGGCCGGCTGTCCCGGCAGGTCCGGCCATGCTGTTGGCCTCTGCATGGGCGTGAAGCCCCGGGTGGGGCGGGTCCCGTGCCTGCTCGACGGGCGCTGCTGGCCGGCCCTTGGCCTTACAGGATCTGTAGTCTTGGAGACGCAGCTGTGTGTTGGGTTTGAGGTTTAGCTCAGTTTAAGCACTGGGGTGTTTGGGTGTTTGGGTGTTGGGGCTCCTAGGTGACCTCTGAGGCACATGTGAGCACACGTGATGCGGGGGCAGAATGGCAGCCGTGGGGCAGCCGGCTCTCCCGTCGTGAAGGAGGAGGGGGCGGGGGCGGGGCTGCTGGAGTGAGTGGCCGAGAGTGTCTCCACATGAGCTGACCTGAGGTTTCATCCCAAAGATCGTCCCACTGGGGCGCAAGGAGATCAAGGCCAAGGACCTGGTGCGGCAGCTGCAGGCAGAGGCAGAGGAGCACCGGAAGCAGAGGAAGAGGCAGACGGTCTCGGGCCTGCACAGGTGGCCCCTGGTCCCGGCCCCGTCCTCCATCTCGTCCACCGCCAGTTAGGAAGCGCCTGACCTTGCCAGGGACTGAGGCCTCTCCCGGAGTCCATCTCTCTCCTGCGAGGCCTCCCGGCGGGTGGGGTGAAAGGCAGTGCCCGGGACCGTGTGGCGTGGATGCCACTTCCGAGGGAGCCTGTGTAGCCTCCGGAGGGCGGCTCTTGGCACCAAGGACGCAGGTGGTGGGGGAACCGAGTCACCCACAGCCCGAGGGAGACGAACCCCCACATCCCCAGCATTTTCCCGGGTCTCACAGCTGGGAATGACCGCGGGCCTTGGCCCTGCCTCCTTAGCCCAGATGCCGTCCCCGCAAACACGGTTTCGGGACACTCTGTGCCTTGAGCTGTGGGACGTGCCTAGGTCTTTCTTGGGGTCAAGGGCTTTGATTTGCCCGGTTTAACCTGCGGGCGCTGTGGCAGCTTCACTGTTAACGGCTTTTCTGCACAGATACCTCCACCTGCTGGACGGGAAGGAGCAGTACCCCTGCCTCCTGGACGCCGACGGCGACGTCATTTCCTTCCCGCCGATAACCAACAGCGAGAAGACCAAGGTGGGCTGAGAGTAGGCGTCCCTGCGTCTTCCATGCGACGTCAGGCGCGCACGGCCCGGCCTGGGCCACACCATGTCAGGGTGCGCGCAGCCCGCGGTCTGTGTCTGTCGGCTTGAGCGGCGCATGTGTGAGGCTTGCCCAGATTCAGTGTTGCAGTTGCTGGTGTCGCTGTGGGTAACTTGGCTCTTTTCTGACACGTTCCTGGTTTCTCTCTAAGATTAAGAAAACAACTTGCGATTTGTTTTTGGAAGTGACAAGTGCGACAAGTCTGCAGATCTGCAAAGACATCATGGACGCCCTCGTTCTGGTGAGTAGCCCCGCCTCCAGGCGACGGGCAGAGGACCGCGTGGGTCTCCGGGCGCCTCCCAGGGCTGCCTCTGATCTCTGGGTCATTTGCAGAAAATGGCAGAAATCAACAAATACACCTTAGAAAACAAGGAAGAGGGCTCTGTCTCCGACACTGAAGCAGACGCCACTTCTGGACACCTCTCGGAGCCTGGAAGGCGCCCCAGCCCTGAGCGAGATGGGAGCGCCCCCCTGGTGGTGGAGCAGGTGCGGGTGGTGGACGAGGAGGGGCACCTGAAGGTGGTGTACCCGTCCAAGACGGACCTGGACATCGCCGCTGCCCACGTGACGGTCATCCGCTGAGACGCCGCCAGCGCCTCCAGCCACCTGGACAGCTCTGCCCCCGTGGGGCTCACGCGTGGGGGCACTGAGTTACTGGCTGCCCTGCCCCCTGGGCGGTTTTGAAGCTGTCTGGAGTCTTTGTCCAGTTTGCAGAAGATCCTGCCATGAAGACGTGCCACACTGTCACGTGCTTACACTCTCCTGCGTCCAGCTTTCACTAAGGCTTTGGATGGCGTTACTCAGCGCACTGCACTGTGAGTACGCGCTGGGGTCATGTGGGCACAGCCAGCTGCTCCCGGGAGACTCCGTGGACATGGCGTTCCGTCCCAGCCGGAGCCTGCGCCGCGGGCATCGCCTCTCCCACCGCTGCCGGTGCGCTGAGTGCGCAGCCTCCTCCTCAGCCTGCACTGAACGCATTGCTGGTGGGCGCTTAGGGGTGGCGATTCAGAGGGGCACCTGCCGGGGGAGGAGTCAGCGGGACTTAGAGCCGCTGGTGAGTGAGCCTGTGGTGACGAGCAGATGGCAGACCCCAGTCCCAGGGGACGTGCGGGTGGATGGGGCTGCAGCATCTTACTGTAGGTGTTTCTGGTGTTAAATGTCTCGGCAGGAAGCCTGTGTCTGCGTGTGTTGTGTGAGCACACGCGTGTGCCCTCCCAGGGCCACGTGCTTGGGTCCAGGAGCGGCCGTGGGGCCACGGGGCCGACTGCGCCGTCAGGCTCTGGCTGGAGCAGGGAGGGCCTCCTCAGCTTCCGTGTTTCGCGGCCGTTGATTCCACGGCCCCAACCTGCAGAGGCCCATGTCTGTCTGGGGGAGGGACGCTTAGCCATCGGAAGCAGCCGCACGCGGCCTGGGAGCTCAGCCAGCCTGCTCTGCGGGACGGGGTGGGTGGCTGAGACCCCGACCTGGCTCTCGACCACAGGCCTTCCCACCGTTGTCCCTGGGCTGACGTGGGTGAGCTGCCAAAGGCACTCCTTACTGCCCTGCTCCCCCCACCCCACCCTCGAGCCTCCTGTGCAGTGTCTGCTGGTGCCTGGCTCACACACAGGGCCTCGGGCAGTCAGCGCTGACACTGGCAGGCGTGGGGTCTGCGGGTCACAGTGGAGCATGAAGGGGGCCACAGCCCAGCTGTCCTCCAGGCCCCTGGCTCAGTGCACCTGGTGCGACCTCCACGTTGATGAGGCCGCCCCCGCCTGCTGCTCCTGGTGCCACTCTCCCCATCCTGCATCTCCAGCGACCTTAGTGGGAGCGCCTGCTCCTCCCCGGCCGCTCTCAGCGGGCGTTGGCAGGTCTGCAAAATAGACCCCAGGCTGCTCGGCCCACCTGCAGCCCTGCCTCCCGGGCCTGCCCACTCTCCTGTGCCTGTTGTCGGGAGGCTGGGCACCGACTCAGCAGGGGCCCTAAGGACTGCCCTGTACGTTGGGGGCCCTGGGGGATCAGTCTCAGAGGCCTCATGCCCCCGGGGCAGGGACACTGGCTCCTGAGACCCGTGGGGTGCGTGCATGTGCGCGGCTCGAGCAGGCATCGTGTTGGCCTGACATCTGGTCAGCCCGGGAGGAAGCTGGAGGAGGTCCTCCGTGTCCAGGCAGTGCTGGCTCCCAGCAGTGCCCTCAGCGTGGGTCACCTGCCACCTGCTCACCCCTCCCTGCCCTGGATACCTGTCCAGGACTGTTGGCCTTGCCCCAGGCCACTCATACCTATCCATCAGCAAGGCCGGAGCCTGCAGTGCACCTGGGAAGTCGGGGAGGAGTGGGCAAGGGCTACCAGGACCCCTTCTGTCCTCACCCTCTGCCAGTCCCGGTACCCCCAGGGCAGACTGGCCCCGTGGAGGCCCATGCCCCTGCCCACCTCCCCGCAGCCCCCACCCCACGGCCTTTCCTGGATCGGCGCCAGAGGGTGAGGCTGGGAGAAGGGTGCAGAGGCCGAGACCAGAGCTGGACAGGACCCTCCCTGAGGCCCCTCCAGCAGGCCCACAGGACCCGGTCCCTGCCCGCCTTGGGGTCAGAGCCGGACACCACCTGGATGCAGACTCCTGACGTCCCCCCAACCAGCCACGGGTGCCCCTGTAGGCAGCTTGGCCTGACAAGGTGGACTTAACACAGGGCCCGCGAGGACAGTGACTCCTCATCTCCCACCCTCATCCTGAGATGCCTTCCCTGGGACAGGAGCAGGTCTGGCCACACCCCGGCCCTCAGGCCCAGCCAGGAGGGCACGTCCCAAGGCCCTGAGCCAGGCAGCCTCACCACAGGCCCCTCACAGCTGTCCAGGCACTAGTCACACCTGGCCCGGGGGAGCATGGCCACCAGCATCTTTCATTCAACAGACATTTAATTTAATGACTAATACACTCTTCCCCAGCGGAAGGAAAGAAGCGGGCAGACCAGGGGTGAGAGTGGAGGCCGCTCCCTGCTCTGCCTGGGAAGTGTCTTCCAGGAACAGCTCTCGGCCCCTGGGAGGGCGGGCAGAGGGGCACACACGGCTCCCCTCAGCGCACTTGGGGGCCTCTGTGTGGGGGGCGGTGTCTGTATACCGATGCATGTATATAGGGGAGGGTCTGTATAGGGATGCGTGTATCTGGGGGGAGTCTATACAGATGCGTGTATGTGGGGGTCTGTATAGGGATGCATGTATGTAGGGGCCAGTATATAGATGCATGTCTGTGGGGAGAGTCTGTATAGGATGTGTGTTGGGGGAATCTATATAGGGATGCGTGTATATGGGGGAATCTGTACAGATGCATGTGTGTGGGTCTGTATACAGATGCGTGTGTATAGGAGGGTCTATAGGGGGAAGCGTGTTTATGGGGGGAGTCCATACAGATGCATGTTTGTGGGAGGGTCTGTATACAGATGCATGTTTATGGGGGGAGCCTGTACAGATGCATGTATGGGGGAGTCTGTATAGGATGTGTGTTGGGGGGTCTGCATGAAGGCCCCCGGCCTGTGCCCGTGGCCGTGGCCCCGGCGGCACTATTTGCACTTGTGGACTAGGTAGCCGGCCACGTAGCCCAAGATGAAGATGACCCAGAAGAGGGCCACTCCTCCCAGCATCCTCATGGTGACCCCCAGCCGGCCCGAGCACAGCTTCCGGGAGAGCCTAGGGTAAGAGGGCAGCAGTGAGCCCCTGGGGGGGGAGCCCCAGGGCAGGTGGGCCCCAAAGGAAGTGGGGGTGCTGGGGCCCTCTGCTGATGTGGGCAACAGGAGGGAACCCGCAGGGAAGGAGCAGAGGCGGAGGGCCCAGGTGTGCTCAGAGGCCAGGGGAGGGGGGCACCCGGGGGTGTGGAGCGGAGGCTGCCCCCACTCACCTCTCGCAGCAGGGGGCCTCTTCCGGGCTGGACGCAGCCCCCACTCTGACCTCATCCCACCTGCTGTACTGCACACTGGGGTCCTGGGGCTCCATGCTGGGTGCGGAGCTGACGTGGCTGGGGGCGTGGCAGCCTCGCTGGGCTCACTGTAGGGCAGGACCCTGCGGACAGCGAGGGGAGGGGTGCTTTCAGGGGGAGTCTCCCTGGGCGCGGGGAGGGGGGAGAGACACTAAGGTGGGTGGCTGCTCTACCCACACCTCCCACCCGCCTTACGAGGTGACCAGGGCCAGAGTGCTACGCTACTGGCCCAGTCACGTGGGAGGGGCAAAGTGGACATTCCTGCCCCGGAGGCTGCAAGTCCAAGAACGCTGTGCTCAGGAATGCGCGCATCCACCCAGCCCTGGGCCTCCGGCGCCCGGGCCAGGGCCGATGACCACTTCCTGCTGCCCGTCCCTGACAGATAAGGCCGCCGGCCCTCTCTGGAGGTCGGGAAGGGAAGGGAGGGGGCTGTGGCTGGCGAGCTCGGCCTGTGGGGGGTGGGGGCGCCCGGCGGGCCCCACAGCAGCTACGCTCTGGCCTGTAGCTCTCTAGTCCCTCCCCCAGCACTGCCTGCGGGAGGAGCCAGGGCTTGGGGGCGCCTGGGCCTGCTGGGGAGGCTGCAGCAGCTGGCCCCTCACTTCTAGGGGCTGAGACTTGGCTCAGCCCCCACCAGCCTGGGAGACGCTGACTGGGTCCCAGCTAGTCTTGGACACAGAGGGCGCCCTGGCCCGTGTGCTCAGTGGTTTGAGCACAGGCCCCAGGACTGAAGGGTCATGGTTTCGAATGGGACCTGGTCAGGGTACGGGTACGTGTGGGAGGCAACCAGTCAACGTGTCTCATCCATTTTTCCCTCTCTCCCTCCCCCTCCCTCCCTTCCACTCTTTCAAAAAACAAGGAAAAACCTATCCTCAGGTGAGGATTAAAAAAAAGCACAGAGGGCCCTTTGCTGGGAGAAGCCAGCCCCAGGCGGTTAACCCCTGGCTCGCTGGTATTCACCCTTTCCAGGGCCCAGGCATGGGAGGAAGGGAGGCCTGAGGCAGCCATTCAGAGCAGCCCCAGGCCTGAGGGAGGGCTTCACACCACCCTCCCCTCCCGTGGGCAGAATCCTCATCTTCCCTGCAGCACTGCCTGCTGCCGCCCAGTGACACCTGGGCTGAGGCCAGCTTGATCCCCTGCCCCTGCCGTCCTCGGTCACCAGGAGTGGGCTGGGCGCTCTCCTGGGCGGGGGAGCAGGGGGGAGCTTCTGCTTTCCTGAAAGGCAGCCACCTCCTTCCTGCTGCCCTGATGAGGGCCGGAGCGCTGTCAGCTGCCTTGTGACCTGGATGCCACACCAACCTGAGTGGCGCTTCCCCGAAGCCACACCCACTGCCCACTGGGGCTTCTGATGCCAGGAGAGTCGCCCCAACCTCGCGGCGGCCAGGGCGTTCTTGTCACTCAGCAGGACGCGTTCCAAACAGGCGCCGTGGCTCAGTGGTCCGGCTGGACCAAGCCCCAGGAGCGGGTGAGGTGCTCAGAGCCGGGCGGCGCCTGCTCGGCTGCCAGCCCACACACCGGGCACACCTCGTCCCAGAGGCCTGGGGCCGTGCCACCTGGCGGCGACATGCCAAGCCCTGGGAGCCCGGGTACCAACCACCAGCTCCTGGGAGCCTGAGGCAGCTCCACGTACCTTAGCCCCCTTCACCCCGAAGCACCTCTGGGCAGCCCACAACTTACAAAGGGCGTCCTGGCCAGGGGGACCGACTGCAGCCCGCGGTCCAGGGAGATGGGCGGAACCTGCGGCGGAGCTCAACCTTAAATAGGAAGAGAAGGTGACGGACGGCCCTGGGCCTCCCCGCGGCTCCCCATGGGTCAGGCCAGAACCCGTGGGACCGGGACAGCGCATGGGCCCCGACCCCCACCGCGCAGACCCGGCCTCAGGCCAGCCGCTCGCAGGCCGGGGAGGCCGCGGCCTCAGAGGGACGGGGGCTGCCGCCGCCAAGGCCCCCCACACCCGCTCCAACCCCCACACCCCCAGCCCCGGACGCACGAGGAGGCTGCACACGACCTCGCATCACCTGGCGCGGACTGTCCAAGTGGCCAGAGGGCGCGGAGCCGGGGGCGGGGGCGGGGGCGGGGCGGGAGTGGGGAGCGGACGGGGAGGTCCGAGCCCGGAGGGACCTGGAGGCGGGACCGTGCCCGGGGGCGGGACCAGCGGGGGGGCGGCCCCCAGGCCGGGGCTGCTGGGGTGACGGGCCTCCGGGACTGGGGCGGCTGGGCGCGTCTCCCCAGGACCCCGACCCCGCGGGAGCGGGGAGACTCGGGGAGCCGAACTCAGAGCGGGGCCCCCGGAGCCTCCGGGGCGCCTGGGTTTGCACCCAAAGGCGCGGCGCTGGGCTGGGTCTCCCCGCGCCGGCGCGGTTGCGGCCGGTCGTCCGGGCTGCGGGCTGCTGGGACCAGAGGCCGGGGAGCCGGACCTCAGCGCGGGTGCAGGGCCGGCCGGGCGGGCGCGGAGCAGAGCGACGCCCCAGCGCCTCCCGCATCCGCACGGGCTCAGGCGCCTGGACTTGGGAGCCTCTGGGGGGAGCCTGCCGCCTCCTGGCGCGCCCGCCCCGTCAACCCGGGGACTGTGTGCGCGTTCATCTGAGCCCAGCTGAGGAGCAGCGTCTCACCGGGTGGACGTTCTCTCGGGAGAGCGCAGTCGTGCCCCTTACTTCCCTCATTACAATCGAGGGGGGCTGCATGGAACCCCCGGGGGTGGGTCAGGGGGCGGGGCCTCTGGGATCGGATGAAAGTAAGATGACTGACACATGCACCTTCCGCACGAGTGGGTCTGGGTGAGGCCGGCAATTAACGCAGCAGCGAGAGGGTTCCGGGTCTCGGCCGGTGTGTGGGTTGGCCCTGGGGTCTGGAAAATGAGAAGTTACCTTGACATTTCGAAGGCACGTTATCTGAGATGCAAAAGGCAATGAACTGGCCAGTGAAGGTCAAGATTGACCTTTGCAGGGGGATTCTAGCCTGGGACTGGACGACCGGCCATGAACAGCTTTCAGTTACCAAGTTTCCATTCCACACCCTCCCATGGGGTGGCTTTCCGTCTGCGATTGTAAGGCCGCCCCGCAGGCCTCCCGCGAGCTTGTGGGGTTTAGTTGTGGCCCCTTTTCACCCACGGTGGGAACAGAGTACCCAGCCCGGCCACCTTCCTCCGAAGGAGTCGCCCTTGCAAGACAACGGCCCCAGGCAGGGAGCCCCTGGGGCTGGGGCAGGGGAGGGAAGTGTGGTGGGCAGAGCAAGGGCGAAGGTCAGAAGGTCACCAGTCCAGAAGGTCACCAGGTGGAAAGCTCCCTGTGGTAGCCCGTAGGGTGGGACCTCGCCCCCAGGGGACCTCTCCTCCCCTAGCATCTCCCTGGGCCTGAGGGTGGGACCCCCTGACCTGTCTCCCTACAGATGACATGGTGGACAGAAGGGGCCACGTGCTGACCTGACAGCTCAGGGAAGGCATGCATGGCGGCCCTGCAAACACAGACCTACGTGACCACAAAGGATGGTCTGACATTAAACTTAAACTAAAGCAGTGATGGTGGGTGTTAGGTTGAAAGGGGATCCAGGAGCTGATGCATGCCTCCGCCAGGCAGATGGTGACGCAGATACTGGGCCCTTCCTAGGATCCGTAACAGGCCAGGGCACCAGGTAGATGGTGACGCAGATGCCGGTCCCGCCCTGGAATTCCTAACAGGTCAGCTACCAGACAGATGAGGACACCTGGAAAAACCGTGACGACCCCCGTGGCGGGAACTCCCACAGCTCATGCTCCCCCGCCCTCACTGAACAGCTGTATAAAAAAAGCGCCCCCCTCCCTGTTGGCGTGGATCCACGTGCCCTGTCTTTGGGGTTTGTGGGTCACAGAATAAAACCTCTCCTTCCTTCCTTTTCTGATCAACTCTCTTTATTTCCTACGCCGCCTCCTGAGCCACCTAACCTAACAGTGGGCAGTTATGTCCTAGGCCGGTATCTTCACTGACAAGGTCAAGCTTGACCTTCACTGAGCCTACCTGTCTTTTTGCATCTATGATAACACGCCCTTGAAATGTCTGGGTAACTTGTAACTTCCCTTTTTCTGGAGCCCCTGGGGCACAACCAGATGTGCAGGACGCCAGGACAGAGACCACCAATCCCTTCACTATCATGTTAATTGTTCCTGCACCCACCTAAGCAGGTGTCCATCATTTTACTTTGTATCCAATCCCAGGGGTTTCCCCACTTGGCTTGCTCCCGCCCCTCTAGTCTATCACCAATGGATTCCATGTAACCCACCTATGTCCCTCCTTTGATTAAAATGTATAAATACAGATGTAACCCACCATTCTCCGGAGCATTATCTCAATCCCTTGAGGTTCTGCCTCCCGGCATATGGTGCCATGGCTCAAACAAACGCACAACAATTCTTTACAGGTTTCCATGGTTTTATGTTAACAACATCTAGGCCGAAGTTGTATTTCAGCTCCAGGCCCAGAAAAGCAGTAAAACCAGACCAGCGGCCGGACTGGCGACCCCGGAAGGCACGGCACCAGGTGTCTGACCTTCCTGAGTTCTGGCTGAGAAAAGAATTCAGAGCCCAGACTCCAGCTGGAAGGGTTCCTGGGCGCGCAGAGAGAAAGGACCCCTGAAGAGAGATTTCAGGGCGTGGGCAGGGCTCCTAACCCCTCGGAGGGGTGACTGCTTTCTCCTGCAGACTGACCCATGGGTCTGCCGGGTCCTCCCCTCCAGCCCCGGTTCTGGAAGGGTGGGGTCTGCACAGGACACCCCGAGGCGGGGAGGAGAGGTCAGAAGGACCCCACCTGCGTGCTGGGGCGTGCCCGGGTGGAGGGTCTCAGGGGCCGGGTCCTGATGAGCAGTGTCCCCAGGACTTGCTCTCCCTCTCCCTTCCTTGGCCAGCGGTCCGGCCCGTCCGCCCTGGCGACCTTCCGACTGGCCCATTGTCCTGGCTCTGCTCCCGTCGGCCTCACTGCGACCCCAAGTGGAGACCGAGACCCTGGGAGGCTGCGAATGTTCTCCTGAGACCGTCCCCCAGAACCCCCCCTAACGCTAAACCCTCAGGAGGACCCCCTCCCCCCAGCCGTTCCCTCTCCCTCCTCCCACCAGGCGTTTACCCTCAGCTTCCGCATCCCAAGCCCCAGGGCCCTTCCTTCGCCTCCATAGCTTGTTTCCTGAGCCCATTTCTCCTGTGGTTTCCCAAGGGGATGGTCCCTTACGGTTTGCGTCTGGGCTAATTCTGCCCCAGCCAGAACCCGAGAACCGGGGTTGCCGAACCCAGGTCCGGGCAGACCCCTCGGGTCAGACACCCGGTGCCGTTCCCACGCCCACACCAGAAGGAGCCCTGCAGGTCCGAACTGCACGGGCCGGTGGCTCCGAAAGCTGGGCCACAGGGCCCCTGCTCGGCGCGGGTGTCTCCAGGGCGGTGTCGGCTGCGGTGCGGACTCCCGGAGAGTGGGCTTTGGACTGGGGGTGTCGCTGGAGAGTGGGCTTTGGACTGGGGGTGTCGCCGGAGAGTGGGCTTTGGACTGGGGGTGTCGCCGGAGAGTGGGCTTTGGACTGGGGGTGTCGCCGGAGCCCAAGCCCCGTGTGAGTGCCGGGAGAGGAAGCGGAGCCCGTGGCCAACAGAGTTTAATTCTGAATCGGAGCCGAAGCGGGGGGCCCAGGCGGCTCTGGGGGGGCCCGCCCAGCTACTTGGAGGTCACCTTCTTGGACTTGCTGGACGAGAACACCTCCGCCATCAGCAGCGGCGGCACCTTGACGCCCTTGTGCTTCAGCTGGTTGTAGTAGTCCATCCGCTCCGAGATGATCCGCTGGGGAAGGACGCACCGCTGCCCAGGCTGCTCCCCCCCCACCCCGCGGCCTCCGAGGGGGGCAGCTCTGGGGGCAGCATCAGTCTATTCGGGGGAAACCCTCCTCCTGGCTGACCGGGAGGAGCTGGTGACGCAGGGACCGCCCTGGGGCCTCGGGTCCGTCCCCCACGGAGGCGGCCCCACTCCCTCCCAAGGCCTCCTCTGGCCCAGGGACCAAGGAAAGGCTCCCCGGCTCCTGGGTGGTGCTGATGACCCTTCCCATCCTCCCCTTTTCCCTCCCACCCTCTCCCTCCCCCTTTCTTTTTCTCCCTCCCCCCTCCTCTATTCATCCTCTCCCCTCCCCACCCCCCTTCCCTTAGTCCCCAGAGGCCTCTGCCCAGGCCCCTCACAGGGTCTCCCTCTCCCCTGAGGCCTGTTGCCACCTGGCAGGAGCACCATTGGCCAGCGTCCCCTCACCCCCCGCCAATCGGAGGGGAGGAGCCAGGTCTCCGGGAACTGAGGGTGCTAGAAGGCCAAGGCCGACGGCACCTGCTCAGCCCGCAGAGCCTGGGGCGCAGCCACCTAGGGACAGGTGCCCAGCTCCCCAGAGCTGAGTCAGCGGGGGCTCTTCGCCCCGTCTGGCCCTGCACCTGAGGTAGGCGCTCCCTCCCGGGCCCGGTGACCAGCCCTCAGCTCTTCCACCCAGGCAGGCGGGGGGTGACTCCCTGAGGCCCAGCCCGCCTCCGAGTCCTGGGGTGGGGGGTGGGGGTAGATGAGGGGTAGCCTGGGCCCAAGCCATGGAAGGGGGTCCGGGTCAGGGCCTTGGCTCGGCAGATGGAGACCCCACTGAGGTGCTAAGAAGCGTCCGGAGGAGGCTGAGCGGGGCGTGGCCTGGCGGCTCCTGCTTCCAGAACCCTCCAGGCCCCACGCCTGCCCTGCCCGATGCCCAGAGGGCTTGCTGCCCATTCAATGCTGAGAGCAGCCCAGCCTCAGGCTCAGGACACCAGCAACCCCTGGGAGACCTGGTCCCTTCTGCCTGGACAGTCCCCGTCCCAGAACAGAGACCCTGCGGGACCAGCAGGGCCACCACGCCCGTCCCGGCCTCTCCCTCTGCCCGGCTGCAGCGGAGCTGTCATACCTGCAAGGCCTCCAGAATGTCGTTGTCAGAGATCTCGGAGGCGAAGGACCTGATCCCGGGGGTGCTGAAGGCGGCCTGGATGACCTTGTTCCTCAGTCTTTCCAGCTGCGAGCGAGCGAAGGGACAGTCACCGCTGGCCTTGGGGGCGGAGGGGCCCGCCCACCGCCGGGACCCCTCCTTCCCAGCTTAGGAACCGGAAACTGAGGCTGGAGGGACAGCGTCTACCTGCGAGCTAGACGGGCCTGGGGTGGCCTCACGCAAGGACCCTCTACCTCGCCAGCTTTTGGTTTGTTTGTTTGTTTGTCTGTTTGTTTGTTAATCCTCCCCTGAGGATATTTTTCCCGTTGATTTATAGAGAGAGTGGAAGTGATTTTTAGAGAGGGTGGACGAGAGAGACAGTGATGTGAGATACTGACTGGTTGCCTCCTGCACGTGCCCAGACCAGGCAGGGCTGAGGACTGCACCTGCAATCCAGGTATGTGCCCTTGACTGGGAATCAAACTCCCAACCCTTTGGATGTGCAGGCTGACGCTCTAACCACTGAGCAACCAGCCAGGGCCTCGCCAACTTTTTTCTTTTAAAGGGACCCCTTTTTAAAAAATATATTTTTTTTTATTGACTTCAGAGAGGAAGGGAGAGAGAAACATCAATGATGAGAGAGAATCATGGATCGCTGCCTCCTGCACGCTTCCAACTGGGGTTCGAGCCTGCAACCTGGGCATGTGACCTGAACAGGATCAAACCTAGGACTTTCAGTTCGCAGGCCGACTGAGCCAAACTGGCCAGGACCTCATCAACTTTTTTAATTAAACAAGTAAAACCTGCACATGATTGAAAAATAAAATCAGCCCGGCCAGCGTGGCTCAGTGGTGGAGCATTGACCTATGAACCAGGAGGTCATGGTTCGATTCCTGGTCAGGGCACATGCCCGATTGCAGGTTCAATCCCCAGTGGGGGGGGTGTGCAGGAGGCAGCCGATCAATGATTCTCTCTCATTGTTGATGTTTCTGTCTCTCTCTCCCTCTCCCTTCCTCTCTGAAATCAATAAAACTATATATTTATAAATAATAAAATGCTAATATGCAAATTGACCGAATGGCAGAACTACTGGTCCCATGATGTGCACTGACCACCGGGGGCAGGCGCTCAATGCAGGAGCTGCCCGTGGTGGTTAGTGTGCTCCCACAGGGGGCGCATGGCTCAGCCAGAAGCCCCAGCATCACTAAGGATGTCTGACTGATGGCAGGGGGTGGGCCTAAGCCGTCAGTCAGACATCCCCCGAAGGCTCCCCGACTGCGAGAGGGCACAGGCCGAGCTGAGGGACACCCCCCCCCCAGTGCACAAATTTCGTGCACCAGGCCTCTAGTATATTTATAAATAAATAAAAAATTATAAAACTGAGAAGGACCCCAAGCCACCTCCTTCCCCAGAGGAGCTCCCTTCTGACCCGGGGAGACTCCCTGACCCCTGACCCTCCTGCAAACTCCACCCTCTCGCTGTGGACATCACAAACCCCTGGGGTCCCCACGGTGGATGAGGTGGGCAGGGGCCCCGGAGCTCGGGGCCCTGCTGCTGGCGGGGGGCGAGGGAGCGGCGTACCCTGGACTGCGCGCTCTCCAGCGCCACCCGGACCTGCTGCTCCGCCTGCTGCGCCGCCTCGATCTTGCTCTGCGCCTGCTCCTGCAGCTGCTTCCGCCGCTCCAGGTGGTCCAGGCACTGGCTCACCTGGGCCTGCAGCTGGCCCGCCCTGGCCTCGGCCTCCGCGATGGCGTGCTCCCGCGTGGCGAGCTCATGCTCCAGCTCCCACACTTGCTGGGGGCGGGGCCGGGGGCGGAGGAGTAGGCCCACACGTCCCCACCCCACCTCCCCCAAAGACAAATCGGGACCCAGGGATGGCGCGGGGCCTCTGTGTGCCCCTGCGCCCTGAGTGTGTCGAGTGGGGTGCTGCCTCCCCCGGGAGGGGTCCCCCCCCCCGCGGTCACCTGTCGCAGGAAGAGGTTGTCCTTCTCGATGAGCCCCATCACCTCTTTCTGCTTCTTCTCTTCCCGGAGGTTGGAGAACTGCAAGGCAGAGGGGGTGGCTCAGGGGGCTCCAGAAGGAGATGGTGGATGGAACCCCACTTCTGGCTTCTCCCTCCCTGAGCCTCAGGAAGGTGAGAGCAGGAGGGTTTCTGATGAGGAAGGAGAGGAGGAGGAGGAGGAGGAGGAGGAGGAGGAGGAGGAGGAGGAGGAGGAGAGGACTACAACACGAGGGTGTTGGAAAGCGAACCCCAAAACACGGAACCCTAAGACCATGGCAGGGAGAGCCGAGCACAAGCCCGTCCGCCCTCCCAAGCCCCTAAAAGTCTCGGGAAGTGGGGGAGCCGGTTCCTCTGGAGCTTGGAGGGAGGAAGTTTCAGAAACACCCCCAGCTGTGAGCTGCCAGGTGCCCGCCCCTTCCCCACCCGGCGGGAGCCCAGATGTGTGGTTCCAGCGGGGGTCTGGCCTGGGAGATGCGGGGCTCGGTTAGGGGCAGAGACCCCAGACTCCAGATGGGGGTGGGGGTGCTGACGGTGGAGCCACACCCTCCTCCTAACTGGGCTCCTGCGAGGCCTTCCCGTCCCTGGCAAGAAGCCCCCAATTTCCCGTGTCCAGGGGCATCTGACCCGCCCCAGGGAAGGCCCTTCCCAAACCGGCCCCGGAGCCAACGGAACTGCTGATGGGAGAATAAGAGATTCCAGACAGGCCCCTCCCCGATCCCCCGCACCCCCATCTTTTCTCAAAGGACTGCAGGGCCCTGGCGGGTGTGGCTCAGCGGATAGAGCGTCGGCCTGCGGACTGAAGGGCCCTGGGTTTGACTCCGGTCAAGGGCACAGGCCTGGGGCTGGGGGCTCGATCCCAGCGTGGGGCGTGCGGGAGGCAGCCGATCCATGATTCTCTCTCATCATGGATGTTTCTCTCTCTCCCTCCCTCTGCCTTCCTCTCTGAAACTGATAAAATGTATATTTTTTAAAATGACAGCAGGATGTGCCCCAGAGAAAAGAGGGGGAAGTGAGGATGCAGCCGCCGTAACACGTTTTATGAATCATGATGACACCGGTTCGCCAAGGCGGTTCCGTTTCGTTGCGCGACCAGTAACTGCCCGCAGGAGTCAACTCTGACTGACGGCGAGGAGCCGGGAGGGCGGGAGGCCGGGTGATGCTGAGAGGTGGGGCCTGGGCCCTGGGTGTGCAGCCACCTCACCTGGGACGCGGGGCGGGTCCCTAAGAAACCGGCGGTGGAGGTGGTCGCCTCGGGGGAGAGCGGGGGAGCGGGGGCCGGGACACTCCTGCTTCCGTCAGGAGACTGGACTCGGGTGCTCTAAGCGACGCGGGTGAAAAACTACAAAACTCAACTCAAAGCGCCGAGCAAGGAGGCGACCTCGCTGAGCGCGGGGCTCCCGGGACGCGGCCTGCAGGTGCTTGCGGAACGGCTGGGGGCCAAGAGGCCAGGAGAAGGTGGCTGCTGGGGCCGGAGGGCGGCAGGGGAGGCAGGGGCCTGCTGGGCGCTCCCCCCGCCCCCACCGCCTCTACCCGCCCTGGGGCCCCGGGAGAGTCCCGTCGGCCCCCTAAGTTCCGTGTCTCCCGGGAGCTGCTGCCCCGGGCTGTGCGGGGCGGCCGGTGGGGGGCAGGACGCACCTTGTCGGTCATGGCCTGCAGCTGACGCTTCCGCTCCCGCAGCTCCTTCTGCAGCAGCTCGTGCTCCATGTTGACCTGCTGCTGCTGCGACTCCAGGCGGTCCACTTGCCGTTGCAGAGAGATGCAGGCTCCTGCGGGGGGGGGGGGGGGGGCGCCGGGGTCACGGGGCCAGTGGGGGGCCTGACCCTGATCCGGGCGTCCAACTCCCCACCCCACCCGCCCTTCCCCGCGGGGCTCCCGGCTCAGGGACTGCCTGCGGGCGGGGGTGGGAGCTGAGCCCATCCTGCCAGCGGGCGGGGGTGGGAGCTGAGCCCATCCTGCCTGCGGGCGGGGGGGGGGGGGGGAGCTGAGCCCATCCTGCCTGCGGACGAGGGGGGGGGGGTGGGAGCTGAGCCCGTCCTGCCTGCGGGCGGGGCGGGGGGGGGGGGGAGCTGAGCCCGTCCTGCCTGCGGGCGGGCGGGGGGGGGGGGACAGGACACCACACCTCGGCCGGGGGCTGGCCGGCCTGGCGCCCGCACGCCCACCTGTGGCCAGGTTGTATCTGGTCCTGGCGACCCCGAGCTCCAGCTGGAACTCCTGGATCACCTGCTCGTACTCCTCCAGCTGCGCTATCAGCTCCTCCTCGAAGGCGTCGTCCGCGCAGCTGAACCTCTTCAGGCCGCCGCCCTCCTGGGCCTGCTGCGCCTCCCGCTCCTCGTCCAGCTCCAGCCCCTGCGGCTCCTCCTCCTCGCCCTCCTCACCCTCAGCCTCCTTCCTGCCCACAGCGCCCTGGTCCACCCTCTGGGCTTCCCCCTCCAGGCCCGCCTCTTCCTCCTCGCCTCCAGACTCCAGGCCCCCGGCCCTGTCCGCCAGGACGAACTCCTCCTGCAACTGGGGACGGAGGGGCCACTAGGCAGGGCCGTGGGGGAGGCCCTGGCCTCACCGCCTGGGGGGACTGCAAGGGACCCGCACCCCGGGCGGGGGCTGGAGTTGCTCTTCCAGGTGGGAGCTGCCCGCCACCCTCACCTGCTCCCTTACAGGGTGACTGAGGGCTGCGGGCGGGGGTGGGAGCTGAGCCCATCCTGCCTGCGGGCGGGGTGGGGACCAGGTGGGGCTGCAGGTGGGACCCCGCGACTCTGGAGGTGAGGCCGGGGTCACGCGCCCCGGCGCCGCCCGCACCTGCCGCCAGCTCTGCAGCTCGTCCTCCCTGCAGAAGTCCTGCAGGATGCTGAGCCTGCCCTGGGGCCGCGAGCCGGACTCCGGGAGCCACTCCTGCAGGACACGCCACGGCCTCAGGGCCGCGCACGCCCCTCCGCTCCCAGGTGATGCACCCACAGCCTGCCCTCTCCCAGCTGATGCACCCACAGCATGCCCTCCCGGAGGCGGCCGCAGCCCCTGCGTGTCGGAGGAGGGGCCGCGCCAGCTGGTGGCTGCCGGGGAGCAGCGGGAGGATGGAGGTGCAGCCTTGGACATCTCCCCTGCAGCTCTCCACTCGCACCCCCTCCCAGCCCCGGGAGGCGGGGCCACGCTGCCAGGCCTCCCCGGACTCCTGTGCCCCCTCCTGGCCGCCCCACCATCAGCGTCTGGGCAGTTTTCTCTGGCGACATTCGTGGGATTTGGCGATGGTCTGAACACCCCCTTCCCCACTCATGTGTGCCCCGGCGTCAAGTGGGGCATGAGATAAATGAGGTCTTAGAAAGGGAGGGGCTGCTTACCCGGCCCCCCCAGGAGCTGCCCTGGTCAGTCCTCCGCCCGACCTGGGAGGCAGCACCCCCAAGCCCACTGGACAGGCAGGATACTGGTGTTCCCCATCCCACAGTCAGGACAGGTCAGGGCAACCCCAGTCACGCAGCCTCAGGGCACGGCCAGGCCAGTCTGGGGGCCCCGCCTGCAGGGCGCCCTCCCTCCTGATGAGAGGAGCCGGCCCTCACCCCACAGGGACAGGCCTGAGTCCAGCGAGCACCGCGGCCTGTCCCTGGAGAGACGGGCGGCCGAGCGCAGGGTCCTGTGCAGCGCGTGGCTCTTCCTCTGCATCGTGTTCCCATCGCCTCTCCTCAGATTCTGGCTCAACCCTGAGCCCCAGCCTGAGTGCCCCCAGGACCTGGCCACCGTCCAGGACGAGCAGGGTGGGCGGGGTGAGGGTCCTGAGGGTCCCGGGGGGTTTGGACGCTGTGGCAGCCCTGGCCCCGCTCACCTGGCACACGGACGGCCCCGGCCCCGCTCACCTGGCACACGGACGGCCCCGGCCCCGCTCACCTGGCACACGGACAGCTCCCGGCCTCTGCTCTTGAGGAGGTACTTCAGCTGCTTCTTCAGCGCCTCCCGCTCCCCCTGCAGCGCCAGGATCTCCTCGTCCCTCCGCTGCACCTCCCCCTTCAGCTTGGCGAGGCGCTGCACCTCCTCCACCAGCGTGGACAGGCAGTAGTCCTGGGCAGAGAACGGCAGCCCTGAGTGCCCACCAATCACACGCTTTTTAAAAAATTAAATATATTTTTATTGATTTCAGAGAGGAAGGGAGAGGGAGAGGGAGAGAGAGAGAGAGAGAGAGAGAGAGAGAGAGAGAGAGAAACATCAATGATGAGAGAGAATCATTGATTGACTGCCTCCTGCACGTCGCCTACTGGGGATTGAGCCTGCAATCTGGGCTGGTGCCCTGACCAGGCTCGAATCCAGGACCCTTCAGTCCACAGGCCGATGCTCTATCCACTGAGCCACACCAGCCAGGGCCACAACCACACTCTTCCTCACCCCTTCCAGCCATCAGCATGACAGCAGCTTCGGGCCCAGGTAGAGCCGGCCTGCTGTTCTGGGACCCCAAGACCCTGAGCCCAAGATGTGTGCCTTTTACTGCAGCCGGGTCCTGCCCACAGGCTTTCCCGGAGAGAGTCATCCTGGCTCCTGGCCAGCTGCCCACTGTGACTGCGGACACGTCCTCCATGCAGCCCACACTCGACCAGAAACTCTCTCCAAAGGCCACCCCTACGGCTCCTCCGCCCCTCAACTTCCCGTCTCTACACCCCAATGCCCTAGATTCTTCAACATTGGAGACACAATACAGATGGGGTTTTTGGGACACACAGGGACAGAAAGAACTGGTCCCCAGCAGATATGAGTGCGGGGCCCCCACAGCAGCGTTAGCATAAAAGCAGGGCTGACACCGGCATAGGTCACTCCTGCTGCTCTGGCGACGGCGATGGCGATGGCTCGGGGCGATTTCCTGACCTGATTGTCTTTACGTTGTTTCCTAAACTTCCCTGAGCTTTACTGACCTTCCATTCTGTCTGTTCTGCCTGCACGCGTGGCTAAAGAGCCAGTGTGTAACCAAACTGAGTAAAAGCGGGCAGGACCCGGACTTGTGGGCTCCTCTTCTTGCAAGAGGCCCCACCTGGCTCCCGTGCCTTAAAAATTCATATTTCTTGTGTAGTCTCTTCATTGTGCGTCGGCCCCCCTGCAGGTCATCCTGAAACCCGCCACGCAGGTCACAGCGTATGAATTTAGACACTAGAGAGCATTCTTCCAGACAGAATTCTGGAAGGAAAGGGAACTAGAAAATCCTCCAGTGTTTGGAAACAAGGTGGTAGGCTTCCACACAACCCACGAGTCAAAGAGAAAGTCACAGAGGAAGCTAGAAAATATCTTAAACTGAACAATAATGAACACTTGGGCATATTGAGACTTGTGGGGTGCAGCTAAAGCTGTAATTAAGGACAAATGTATAGCCTTAAAATACATCCATTAGAGAAAATAATGGAAGGCAATTAGGTACTAAGTATCCATCTCTAGAATTTGAAAACGAACTGCAAATTAAAGAACGAAGAGGGAAAGGAATAGTGTGGATCAAGTACAAGAATGAATGATATAATGAGGGAGAGGGAGAAGAGGACGAAGCAAACATGGCAGCATTTTAACACTTGGAGAATCTGAAGGGCATGTGGGAATTATTGGTCCTATTAGGTTAGAGGGGCAAGTAGTCACACAGAAATTGTGTCTTCACCCTGGCCCTGGTTGAGAAGTCTAAAAGGCTAATTCCAATGTAACCCTGATATTTGAGGTGGGGGGGGGGGGCAAGCAATCTGAATCTGTGCCAGCAAGTCCAGTGGACACTCTTGATAACCTATAATTAAGTCACTGCCTCTTTCCCAGAAACTGGTCTTGCAAGACCTGTTGCCTAAATACAGAGGCCATAAACTATGAACAGTGCACAGCCCCGGAGGGGGGGCGGTTATTAGTGCTGGTGCCAGGCCAGACCATTAGATATGGTCTCAAGACCCCCAACACCTGGGGCCTTCTTTGCAAAGCCCGCGAAAGGACCGGAGGCATAATCCATATTTGGGGGACAAAGACACCAGAAAGATATAAAGGAGAAGCTCCCTGCATGTTTCTTTGCTCAGACTTGGGAAATGACTCCTCTGAGTCCGCTGGCATAATAAACTGTGTAACTCCATTTCTCTAAAGCGTGGCTTGGTTTTTCTCCGGTCTTCTACAACAGGGTGACTTAGACACACACATGTGTCACACATCAGACACTGATACAGGAAGGAGGTGCTTCTTCCACTGGGGCCGCTGAGTTTGTACACACGCGTGGATTGCTGCACATGGCTGTCTTGCCTCCAGAAGAGGCAGACTCACCTGTGACAGCTCAGAGGAAGGCAGAGATGAGAGGAGGAGACCCCAAGAAGTCCGATGGAGCTCCTAGAGATAGCCAAGCCTGCAGCCCTTCCCGGGCCAGCTCACATGCATGTGCTGGTCATTTCCTTCCCCAGTTGGGATGAATAACCACACTGAGAAGAACATCCTTTCACTGCATCTGTGCGACTCTATCTAATTATATCCTCGGGCTACTTCCCGGGAGTGGGATGGCTTGGTCAAGGGGTAGCAACACTTCCTAAGTGGTGAAAGCTCTCCTGAAATGTAGAGGCAGAATTTAGGGAATCCATGTAAAGTGAGTCCTCCTGGGCCCTCGCTAACAGACCTGGTCAGGCCCCCCTGTGGACCTGCCCACTACCCAACACTTCCTGTTGTCATGGCCATGACCATCATCAACGCGTCACCACCTTAAAGAACCAAACAAAAGCGGATTCTAAGAAAAGACGGTCAAACTTCTAACAGGACCGACGGAGAGGTGAGAGCGGGCCTGGGTCCGTGGTGTCAGTACCGACAGAGGCCGCTCCCCCGCAATCTCCCGCCTGCGTGGGGCGGAAAACGAGAGACTATGACGCAGGGGTCAGCTGAATACATTTGAAAATTGCCAGGAAAGGGGCACATTCCTAGAAAACCATAGCTCACCCAACCTGAAGCCAGGGGAAAAGGAAATGTGAACATCCTAAGAGGAATTGAATTCGTTGTTTTAACACACGTTTTATTTATTGATTTTAGAGAGAGAAGGAGGGAGAGGGAGTGAGAGAAACATCGATGATGAGAGAGAATCGTGTATCAGCTGCCGCGTGCATGCCCCCTACTGGGGATCAAACCTGTGGCCTCTTGGTTCATGGGTCGACACTCAACCCCTGAGCCACACCGGCCGGACTGACACCCACCCTGTCAGATCTCCACACAGACGTTCTCAGTGACGAACTCCAGAATTTCTCAGAGAAAGGACTCCAGTCTTACGTAAGCTCTTTCAGAGAACGGGAAAAGGAAAGAGGAGAGCGCATCCCGCCTCTGAATTTGAGATCAGATGAACTCTGCCACCAAATTCAAACAAAGGAATTAGGAGACCGACAAGGCCCGGGCCAGCCTCCCTCCCAGTCGAGTGGGAAATAACGACTCCGCCAGGAGCTGGGCGCTGGCCTTCGCTGCGCCCCCAGCGGTTTCTGAGCGCATCTTCTCCGGAGCGGAAGGACTGGGCCAAGGTTGTGCCGCCGCCGGGTGAGGGGCACGCTGTGTGTTGGCACGCTGCCTGCACGTTGGTGAGGGCGAGGCTCTGAGCCACCCTCTGGGCTGCGGAGGCGCAGGGCCAGCCCATGTGGGGAGCCTCTGAATCCCAGATGCCAAAGGAGGGAACTGGGGTCGGCGGGACCACGTCTGGGGACCTGCGCGCACGCGGCTGACAGATTCTAGAAGGGAGCCTGGGGCGTGGGCGGAGCAGCCTCCGGCAGGAGCGGAGCTGTCCTGCGGAGCCACGGGTGACAGGGGCACGGAGCTGGGCGGCACCAGGCCAGCTGCTCGCGGGCGGTACCTTCTCGTGGATGACCGAGATGTACCAGGGCACCCGCTTCCTCAGGCGGCTCTGGTCCAGCGCCGGGCTGCTGCCGGCCGGGCTCAGCTGCTGGGACTCGCTCTTCCGAAGGTACTCGAGCTCCCCGGCGCTCTGGCTACCGGGCAGCAGGGGCCCTGCGGGGAGGCGGGCGTTGGGCTCTTCCCGGGCGGTGCGACCTTTCACGACCCCTGAGAAACCCTTCCTGCCCACCTGGGCTCCCCAGGCCTCCAGGGCCCGGTCTGCTGTCCCCACCCCAACCCCGCACCCCGCCCCAGCCGTGTGTCACTGAGGAAGTGGGGGGAGGCACAGAGCAGCCTGCAGACTCCTGGGCCCCTACGCAGGGGACGGCCGGGCAGGTGGTGGTGGGCGGACAGGAAGGGCGTTCCCTGGCGCGGGAGCAGGTGGCGCTGGGGAGCAGAGGCCCAGCAGGTGCAGGCAGAGGCCCTGGGGCTGGGGGCCCAAGGGGAGGACCCCTGTGACCAGGAGGCGCTGCCCTCACCGTCCGCTTTCTTGTCCAAGTCCTGCTGGCTGGAGACTGAGTCCTTGGTCGGCTTCCAGGCCTTGGAGCCCAGGCAGCTCTCCACGGGCAAGGTCATGGTGGAGATCATCCCTGCAGAGTGAGAGCGTGCTGACGGCTTCCCCAGGCCCAGGGGGAGGCCTTTTATGCCCTTTCTTTTCTTGTTAATCCTCACCCGAGGGTATTTTTCCATTCATTTTAGAGAGAGTGGAAGAGAGAGGGAAAGACAGAGAGAAATATCAATGTGAGAAAAACACATCGATGGGTTGCCTCCTGCACGCGCCCCTGACCAGGGTCTGGGCCATGGAGGAGCCTGCAACCGAGGTACGTGCCCTTGACGGGAATCAAACCCAGGACCCTTCGGTCCGCAGACCGATGCTCTATCCACTGAGCCACACTGGCCAGGGCCTTATGCCACTTCTCTCTCTCTTTCTTTTCATCCTTTTTAAATTAATTACAGAGAGAAAGGGAGAGGGCGCGAGAAACATCAATGATGAGCGGAATCGTGGATTGGCTGCCTCCTGCACACCCCACACTGAGGATGGAGCCCACAACCCGGGCCTGTGCCCTGACCGGGAATGGAACCGTGACCTCCTGGTTCATAGGTCGATGCTCAGCCCCTGAGCCCTGCCGGCCGGGCTCTATGCCATTTCTCTATAAACCTCAGCTGAGAAGAAAGACGACTTGTCTCTGTGGCCGCAGGGGCTGAACCCCGGGGAT